ATTGATTGATTGATTGATTGGTTGGCAGTGGGGGGGTCGCCTCCCCCGCGCGAACACAAAACAGACACGCACACACACACACACGCACGCATGCGGGGCAACTGACCGTTTTTTTTTGCCACGAGTTTCTTTTTTTTTCTTTTTTTTTTTCATCTTTTTTTTTTTTGATTTTTTTAAAATCCTTTCGAAGGTCAAAAATAAAAATAAAAAAAATGGCCCCCAAATCACCATCGTACGGCCGCCGTCCGTACGCCCGTACGGCTGTCCGTTCGTCCGTACGGACGGGCCGTACGGAGACCCCCGTACGACGTACGGGGGATGACACTGTGATGGCTGACTGGGACTTTTTGATGGGGACAGACGAGGACTTACTGCGTACGCCCGATACCGAAGAGGAGAGAGCGGCGGAAGCAGCGATACATCTCCCTTGTACTCTTCTCTCTGTATGGAGTTTATGGACCTTTGTTTTCTGCGTGTCTCCGGGGATTGGGTGCGTGTATGTTTGTGATGCAAGCCTTGTCAAAAAGTTCCGCCGTTGTCGTCAAGGTGTCCCGACGTGAATCAGGGCATTGCTTTATGTCGGACATGAACTTGAGATGAAGTAGTGGCGGATGGCTTTGAAGCCCATTTGGATGTCTGGGACTGACGTCAAGCGTTGGTACTCGGCGATCCAGTCAACACTCGGCAGCGTGCCTTGCTCGAAGTAGAGCAATTTATCCATGGCTTTGATCTCCGGCGGCTCCACTTGGAGCCGCTTGTGCCATGCTGCCTTAAGGTCTTCCCAGCTGATCTTGGTATGCAGGTCTGCAGCGACCATGCCGTACTTGGACAACAGATTGTCCAGCCATGCCTGGCATGCGCCCCCTGACCGGGAGTACACGTATGCGTGGTTCTTATGTTCGCTGACATAATGGAGCTGCAGCGTCAATTCAAACTCGCGAAACCATGGAATTGGTTCCGTCTTGGACGAATCGAGGAAGATTGCCTGGCCGTCCCACTTTGGGGTCGGCTCACATTCTGCGGAACTTGGATTGGCGGCCGCAGTGCAGATCCGCTGTTCCAATTGCTGGACGGCGGTGTGCTTTATCTGCATGCCATCCTTGACTGGCCCCATGTCGATCTCCAAGGCATTGAGACGGTCCGAAGTGTTGGAGGAGCCGGCGGCGGGGGCGGCGACTGCTTGTTGCAGCTGCTGAAAACAGCTGTTGAGGCTATCCAATGCCCGTTTGTGATGCTGCACCGAGTTGTCGAGGTTATGGATGTCCTCCTGCTGTGCAACGCACGTGGCCAGGAGGTCTGTGAGATGAGAGAGGAGTAGAGCAATCTTGCTTTCACTCTCCTCCATCTTCCCAGTCTCGGCCTCAGTCCGCCAGTCCGCAGCCATTGCGAGCAAGGCTCGCTCTCCCTTGAAAATCTTCTCTCGTCGCTGTATTCTTTCTTCATCGGCAGCCTTAGCTGCTGCCTCGGCCTGCAGGCGCTGTTGTTCTACGCCAACAAACGTGCCTGTTCGGCGTCCTCTGCCTTCTCCCTGGCTGTAGCAGCGACCGCATCCGATCGTTGCTTAGCCTTGGTAAATTCGGTAATCATGGCCAGCATCCGGATCTGGTAGTCCGCGTCCGTTTCTCCTGGCTTCTGGTCCATGGGGGCTGTTTGCGAGCGCGTGAGCATGAACCAGCCCGGAGAGCTGCTGACGTAGCACCCCCTGCTGCCGTGACACTGTTTGGCTGCTGACGTGTCACTGCTGACGTGGCACGGCTGATGTGGCACTGCCCGGCTGCTGATGTGTCACTGCTGACGTGGCATGGCTGATGTTGCACTGCCCATCTGCTGACGTGGCAACTTACCAATGCCGCAGTAGTGGTACCCGGATGAAAGAATAAGATCAGAGGTGGCAACAACATAGGTGGGGAGGGGTGGGTGGGATAAATCGCCCAGATAAGGAGCCACTAATCAAAAAAAAAAATTGTTCAGTAAGTCTCCCAACCTCCCTTGAAGTACGAAATATAAATTACAGAAAGGTTTCGACTTCAGACTGCAAATGATTTATAGAACTGACTAATAGGATCCTAGGTTTGGAAAATAATACTGCAGGAGGGATTTCCCGTACCGTTTTCAGAAAAACGAATTTCGAAAAAGAAAATATTCCGAATTTCTAAGTCACAGGAAATGCAACAGGAAATCAAAATTTTCGAAAAGAAGAATATTCCGGATTTTCAACAACGAAATTTCGAATTTTCAGAAAAAACGAAAATGGAAATTTCAGACGTTGCGCTATTGCAATTTTCCACAACGGAATAGCGAGCAAATAAAATCCAAGAAAAGAAGAAAAACAAAATCAATTTTTGGCAGTAAGGTCAAAATCGTGATTTTGGGGGCTAAGTAGTGTGTTCTAATCAATCAATAAAGACTAATCAGCTACCTAGTCCCCGCACACGTGTCAGATCAGGTTGTCCTGATTCACGTACGGTGCACCGATACCAACTGTTACATGCCCGGTTGGGCGATGTACATAGGAACCGAGGATACGCAATGTGATAAAAAGGACTGAATGGACAATGCTGTGCAAGTAGAATCTCAACTAGCAATGTGCATTCCAATAGATAAAAAATGGTGTTTGAATAGTGCAGGGAAGATTTAGATACAAGACCTGACCTGACCAAGACTGACCTTTATCACGTAGTACAAGATAGCGAAACCGATAGCTAGAATACTGATGACTAGCCCAATCAATGTTTCATCGTAGACCAAACATACATCTTGCTCATCACACAGTGTGAAGGAGCCTGGCGCTGTACACAGGAAGGAAGCGCCAGGTCCAGACATACACAGACGAAGAGGAGGGAATCAGACAAAGAGGAGAGGGAAAGATGGGGATGTCGTCAACACCAAGTCTTTGTCACGAGCCCCAAATAATCCCTCGTTGCAATGTCTGAAGTCCAAAAGTCGAGTCTGGATCCAATGTCACCAAGCTCTCTCTCTCTTCTCTCGTAGTCTGCTGATGCAGTGAAGTCAAATGATGAGAGGGTGAGAGGGAGATGGTGGACTGAGAAGAGGAAGAAGAACTCTCTCTCTCTGTCAGAGCCAGGTACTAACCTGTGAAGTTGGCGCTGTGCTGCAGGTACCTTGAAGACGAAGCTGGAGCAACGGCGCTGCAGGTAAGTACCACAGGCCTCCGCCCAATCTCTCTCTCTCTCTAGTACTATCCTAGCTATGGCGCCCAGCACTGGAGACTACAGCTACCTACTGCGCCCAGCGCTGAAGACTAAGGCTAACGCTACTACTACTCCTGCAGCGCTCCTTCCAGAGTGTTGCGGCCGAATCCTGAAGACTACTGCCTCCTGCCTGAACCGCACGCGAAGTGCCTGGCCAGTGCCTATGAACTACCTCCTGCCTGTAGGGCGGGCCAGTCTTATATAGTGCTGGCCCGTCCAGGAGGCTGCTCTTGCCAATGCCCAAACGTGCTAGACCCTGAGGAAGCTTCCGGGAAGTTTCCAGGTAGCTTCTGGCTAAAGGCTGAGGAAGCTTCCGGGAAGTTTCCAGGTAGCTTCTGGCTAAAGCCTGAGGGACTATAGGCCCTTGTTTTCAGGCTGTCAGGCTGAAACGACACGGGGCCTGTAGGCCCTGGTTTTCAGGCTGTCAGGCTGAAATAGACACGGGGCCTGTARGCCCTGGTTTTCAGSCTGTCAGGCTGAAACAGCCACGGGGCCTGTAGGSCMTGGTTTCAGGCTGTCAGGCTGAAACAGACACGGGGCCTGTAGGCCCTGGTTTTCAGGCTTTCAGGCTGAAACTGACACGGGGCCTGTAAGCCTTCGTTTTCAGGCTTTCAGGCTGAAAATGACACAGGCCTGAAAAATTGCCCGTGCAGCCAGTTGCAGGCGCAGCATGTAACAATTACACAGGAGAAAAAAAAAAAAAAAAAAAAAAAACCATCACCTATTTTCAAGATAGCCTGAGGGCCGCCCTGCAAGCCGACTTCATACAGACCTCTTGAGGTATCCTCCAGACACTCCCCTACATTGCTTTTTTCTTTTTTTTCTTTTTTTTTTTAGGTAGGATGGGGGTGAGAGCCATGCCAACCTGTACAATATAGTTGTCGCGTTATTACCGTCAGATCAGATTGGGACTCTTGTGACAAAGTGATGGTACAATTATAGGGGCTCTCGCTCCATTACTCTCGAAATAGGCAAAACGAGAGTGAATCTTCTGCTAAACCATGGAAAGATACACCACATGATTTTAGTCTTTTGTGCATGTCCAGAGTAGTGGACCGACTCCCATACTTCAGGAAGAATGCAGAATTTAAAGTAATAGAGCCAATGAATGTATAAGCTCAAATGACGGTGCATAGGAACGAGCTGTTGATACAGTGGAGAGGTTGTTTTATTTATTTATTTATTTATTTCATTTTTTCAAATAAAGCCCTGGTAGTTGTACAGGCCGCAGTGCAGACATACAAGGGGTTACTTTTTCTACAGCCATTGCGAGCCCCAAAAATCCCCCTTCCCACCCATCGTCTTATCAATTCTCCTAGCGCACCCCCTTATCTTTACTATCCTACCTCAGTGTGTATTGCAGAATAGGACGAAAAACCAACCAAGCTACTAAACATTTACATTACAACGAGAAACCAGACCAACTTGAGAGCTTTATGATGCTCACACTGGCACTTCATCCGACTGTAATCACTCCCACACCTGGATGATTCCCAAGGCAATCACGTCTAGAGCTTTTTCTTAAAAAGGGTCATAGAGTGAGTACGCCCTGATATCAAAAAATTTAGTAATTTACATCTTTGGGAAACCCTTGGAAGCCACGCTAGGTCTCGCTCAGTCTGGCCTGTTCTGCAGGCACTAACGGAGAACATAACGTCCGAAAAAAGAGGACGTCCGAAAAAAGAGGAGAACGAAACATAACGTCCGAAAAAAGAGGAGAACGAAACATAACGTCCGAAAAAAGAGGAGAACGATGAGCCTGTTCTGGATACTAACCAAGAACACGGGCAGGTTCCTCCTTCAAGATCCTCCCAGACTCTTCCTTACCCCCGTTTGGGGGCAAACGAATCCAAAGGTATGGCGGCGAAGGTACTCAGTACTCATAGTTTTTCCCAAGTTGGGTGATTAACTAAAAGAAGCTACTACGACAAAAAAAAGGTGTCTTTAAACAAAAAGGTGTCGACAAAACATCAGAGAAAGGTAGTGTATGTTCAAGCAGAACGGAACATAACGAGCATCACGGCGTAAGCGGGCGGCGAGGCACAACACTCAGAGAAGAGAAGGATCATGGAGACAAAAAACAAAGAATCAACACAGGAGAAAGAGGTGGTGGTCGAGCAGAAGGAGACAGCGCTTGACAAGAAAACAGAACGTCTAAAAGAAGAACGAAAGGGAAGGATGCAATCTTACATTGTCTCTCTCTCTCTCTCTCTCTCTCTCTCTCTCTCTCTCTCTCTCTCTCTCTCTCTAGATGGACACGCTGTTGGGAATGCCTTCCGTACCGTTGGGAGTGTCGGAGCTGTTGTCCTTATCGTTACGATTGGTACGAGGGAACAAGTACTTGTACGGCAGCCGGCCTTTCTTCTTGTTGAGCTCGTTGTACGCCTCGACCTCTTTCTCGACGTAGTCCAGGTCGTTGCAGAACTGCTCATACGCCTTCCTAGCCGCAGGATCGATGAGCCAGCCGTACGCCGTCTGATCCGTTCTCCCAAGATACTCCTCGTCATCGGAGTAGGTCGACAGCAGATCTACGACGGCTATGGCGGTGACCTGGTCACGAGGAAGAGGCATGATCTCCATGAACGTCTTCTCGTCCACTGTCTCTGGCATGGGTCTGCGCGTTGCAGCTGGATGGTTGGGAGCGAAGGCGTAGTAGTCGTACTGGCCGAAGTTAACCGCCGCGTGCTGCGCACTCGCGGTCCAGATAATCGTCGTGCAGATGAAGGCCAGATCCTCTACCGTCTCCAGCTTCGGCCATTCTTCGACCCCACTGAAGGAGAACTCGAACTTGGAGTTGCCAAACTTCACGTCGGTCCACCATGCAACCAGCTCCTTGTCGTTGATGATCAACTCCCTCGAGGCCTCCGTCTCTCCGTAGTAGATCTTGAGATACGTCAGCACGTACTTGTGCATGGCGTTCCAAATCAACGTCCCTACGTCGCGGTAGGGGTAGTACGGGAGGACGTTGACGTCAGCCACCCCTCTCTTCTCCAGGTTGTTCGGCAGAGCCTGGTCTTCGAACTTCCAAGTCTTGAAAGCCTCCGCAGAGGCGGCCATGGACAGCGATCCGCCGGAGAAGAGGTTCTCTATGATCCCCCCGGCGTTGATCAGACTGGTGCGAGCTCGGTAGTTGATGCTCATGGTGAAGCGGAAGTGGGGGATGAGCAGCTTGAACATGGGATGCAGTTCCGACAGCCGCCGGCGAGTAGCAATGAGATAGACCTCGCAGACGGCGTGGGTTTGGAGGAAGTGTCGGGCCACTTGGTGAACGCTGCTGTCGGCGGACGCCACGTAAGCCTTGGCAAGCGTCCACTGCCACTTGCCGACGCCCGTGTCCTTGGCTGACGTGTACACCTTCCCGTCAGCCTCCAGCTGGATGGCTATGGGGATCACATCGCCGTTGTTGTCGCGGAAGAGCAGACATCGGGGAGCGTAGAGGTACTTCTGCTGCTTGGCCGCTGCCGCCTGGGCGTTCACGGTCGGCCGGATGGCCTCCAAGATGGAGTAGTCGATGATGAACACACGGTTAGTCCTGACGGCCTCGGCAAGCGTGAGCCCGGCAGGAAGCGCACCCCCCAGGTCGCCATCGGAGACGGCGAAACCTGCGGGCAACTCCTTCAGCAGTGTGATCTCCATAGGGTTGAGACCGGCAAGCGTCTGCCTGCCAAACTCCTTGTCCGACTTCCAGTCCAGCCCGTCTTTCAAGACGGCAGGCTTCCTCAGCGCACCCACTCCCTCGAAGAGCCCCGAGATCAGCCCGTTCGCGCTCCTCCATGGCCGGTTGGACGTCATCTGAACGGGATCGGCAAGAAGTGCCTGCGCTTGCGCTTTCGCAGCGCCTGTGATGAAGTCGTAGAGCTTGGAGAGGTCGAAGTCGTCGTCGCGCGGGATCCCGACGTTCGTTCCCGCTACCATCGTCGCCTGCCGCTTGGGATACGGACGCAGCCTCGGCCGGAAGTTGGGACTGTTTCGATCTTCCAAGTCGGCCGGCTTGCTCAGATCGTTGTACTCCTCGAACTTGTACACAGAGAACTGCTGATCGAGCGCCGCTTCGCGATACAGCTGGTACAGCCTTGGGGGCGTCTGCCATGGCAGCTGCGAGCTGCCCTGGAAGAGAATGCGCGGTTTGTCCCCCGTGGGAACGAAGGAGAAGCAGGGGAACACGTACGTCTTCAGCTTGCCGTTGTCCCCGCCGCCATCGCTGGTGTAAGCCTCCGTCTCTATCTCCACTTTCTTCACGAACCACTTGCCGTTGGTCGACCCGTTGTACAGCAGGACTACCGTCGGATTGACGTTCTTGGGCAGATCATCGATGATCACGGACGTTGTACTGCCCTTCTTCCAAAGCCCGAACCCGAGGTCGAACCCATCAGGTTCAGACGTGGAACCGGTCTGCTCGGGACGAGCCGGGGCGCGGGGACCATCTGCAATCACCTTGCCATCCCCGACGACTACGATCCTCGCCGAGCCCAGCATCCCATCATTCAAGTTATCTCCCATGACGATGCTAATCTTCGCCTTTTTGGTGCCGACCGCAGCGGCGGAAGAAGGCACAGGAGAAGGGGCCACCGATGCCTCTGCTCTCACACCGGTGCGACGAGATCTTGCCACGTGTCCGGAAGCGGGTGCAGCACGGTCGGCCACCAGCCGCTGCCCTCCGTGGAAGAAGAGCTTGCCTTGGCCATGGCCGCCGCAAGAACGCTGGCGGGAGATAAGTGTGAGTGTTTGTGGGGAAGTCGACGAGCCGTCGTCACGCATGCAGAAGACAACACCATGGCTTCCTGCACCCGTGACTCCTCTCTCTTTGACTGACACGTCTGTCGTCCTCTTCTGGGACGACAGACATCCCGCTGCAGCTGCAGCTGCTGCTGACCTAGCCGCTGACATAGCTCCTGCCATTGCCCTAGGTTACGCACCACGAGAGTTCCCCGCTCAAGAGAGACACACAGAGAGAGGCGGCAGCGACGTCCTAGAGGCTAGATCACGAATCCCACTCCCGTCCACCTCGATCTTCAAATCAAACAAGTTCCTCGGTCTGCACTTATACTCTTTAGTTGCCGGGCAAACTACCTTTACCTTCTGGGAAGAAACCACGAGAGAGGAGAGACACGTCTCTCCCACAACGTGGCTGGCAATAGTCCACAACATCCTCCTCGGCATGATGGATGGACCTGGCCTGAGTGCCGCTAGCGGCACTACCTTTCTACCCTACTGGGGCAAGGTCCCTCGGAGATATCGGCCGTTGATCTTTGCTATCTACGGTCAGTAGCTCTTAATTGGAGCAAGTGGGACCTGGCCCCCGGAAACGGTGCCGTTTCCGGGAAGGGGGCAACCTTTCCTGCCATTTTTTTTTTTCCCCCCGATTAATCGCCATATTCGGAGCCTCCACAAAAACGTGATCAATCGCCATATTCTGAACGTGGACAAATTTGTCAAGATTGGGGGCATTGTCACAACACTCTCGAAATGTGCAAAATGAGAATGAACTGCCGGCTAGAACATGGGCCAGATGCACCCGCAATATTTTTGTTCTTTTGACTTTCCGAGAGTGGTGTGGCGAGGCCCGCACGCGTTATGTATCCCATCTTCTTTTGCCACTTGGGAATCGTCCTCGGACTTCTTGTAACCGCCATCCAGATCGCAGTGAAAACAAGCCCGGGGTCAAGTCCCACAAGCAGCGTTTGAGTTTGAGTTTCCTCAATGCCCGAATCGGACGTCATTGGTGACATATGCGGTTGAGGAAACTCAATGCGATTTCTGCATATCTCCACAAACACGTCAAGATTCGGGTTTTGCGGGAACTCAACGCTGCTGGTGGGACGAGGGCCCAGGCGCCTAGACCCGCTCACCCGAATTCTCGATTTCTGACCGCTGATTAGGAAGATGGACGGCCAGAGACGAATGGTCGGGCCAAGCGGGAGCCCTTCCCCTTTTAAAAGAAAGAAAAACAGGATTGAATCGTAGCGCACGAAAAAAGAAAAAAAAAGAAAAAAAAAAAAAAGAAGGTATCTCACCTGCTGGTGGGTGCAGCTCCCACATGTTCCCTCGCTGGAGTTGCATTACTCGCCATCCGTCACAATCCGTGGTGGATGCGTGCAGCGTGAAAAAATTGAGAATCAGGGCCTCTTTTTTTTTTTTTTTTTTTTGGGAAGGGCTTCTTTTTTTTTTTTTTTTGGCAGCACGTGCTGGGAACCGGGCCCAGCGTCCCATATGGAAATTTACATATAATTTTGAAGATTGCCACAATTGAGAATCAGGGTTGAATGTTGGGGTGTATTCCCGGGCCCCTGTCCTTCTTATTGAAATGAAAAGTTCTTTTCTCCAAAAAAAAAAAAAAAAAAAAAAAAAAGAGAATCAGGGCCTCACCACATCACGAAATTCGACATATGTAAGGAAATTTTCGACATTCCCTCTTTCGACACTTCGCCAGGAGTCCGATGCGCAAAAGAGACAAAGAGGCTCGCCGCACAAGCTGTCCGAAAATTTTCGACATGTGTCAGTAGATTTTCGACAGTACGGCCGTCGACAATTTTCACCCCCTATAGCCACACAGCCTGTAGAGGGGGCGAGGTTGTCGAAAGTTGGCAAGTCGACGCCGCCCTTGGACAGGTGCTGTGTGGCGAAGGGGGAGTTGTTACATGGATGAATTTGTGTGTGCAAGCGGACCAGATGTCGACGCCCCTTTCTACAGCAACTGTTGACTACATACGGACAAACAGGCCACGGCTTTCAGGGAGCAGTCTCTGACAACCCAAATTCGAACGCAATTTTGGAAAGCCCGGGGCACTGTCGAATTTCCGTCACCTGCAGAAGGGAGGAAACGAGTTTTAGACAGTGGCTGTAGAAAGCACACATCTGACACCTGTCGAAAAATTTCTGAACCGGAATTCGTCGAAAGTATGTGTGGAGATGCAAAACTGTCCAAAACTCGGTCTCCGCACGGTACGCGAAACAAAAAAAAAAATTGACTTCATTTCGTGAGCATGTCGCCGCACAGCATCCACGCAACACCTGTCAGAAAAAATGCGCAAAATGTGTCAGTTTCACCGTTCGCGAGCGTGGGCACGTGCAACAGCTTTTTCTGCCTGCACCTCGCGCGAACTCGCAGGTCCTCCGGAGGTGTGGTGGTGGAGCTGCGAATTTGCACCAGTGTGGCACATCGCTCCAAAGAGCCTCGGTGCACTGTTTGGACACTTGCGTACGTCAGGCCTCGTGAGGCTTCATGGTAAGCACGTGAACCCAGGCAGACCCATTGCGACGATGGAAGGGGCGTCGCTGCGCTTCTCTCCGCATGCACGAAAGACAAAAAAGATGGCGATGTATCTTTCCATGTTCTAGCGGAGTATTCATTCTCCTTTTGCGCAGTCGGAGATGTATCTTTCCATGTCCTAGCGGAGTATTCACTCTCCTTTTGCGCAGTCGGAGACTCTCCGGCTGCGCAAAAGGAGAATGAATACTCCGCTAGAACATGGAAAGATACATCGCCATTCTTTCGCCCTCAAGCGGACGTGGGGAGTGTCGGGCCGTTCCTGGTACCCGAACCCTGCAAAACGTCGGTCCAATCGGGAAACCGCGAAAAATGCTGCCACCGCCGCATAGCACACACGAACCCCGCACGAACTCGTGTGGTCGCTACCGCGAGAGAATTCGCCTTTGCTGTGTGGCGGTGGTCCAGTTAACGAAACGAAACGCTTGAATTCAACATCGCGAGGCCTCACGAGTTCTCAGCTCGTTTCGTTTCATTTTTTCAACCGTGCGGCGAGGCCCTTGGTCCGTTCTCTTTTTCGAGATTCAGGGCCTCGCCACACCAATTTCGAAAACTGAATTTTTGACATTTTCTCCTCGCCACACAGCATGTCGAAATCCGAGATGCAAAAAAAATTCAGGAGCTGTCAGGGAAAGGGTTTCGACACCTCCTCTCGAGACCGGCTCGTTTCCCAGCCTGCAACTTGCACATTTTCAACAGTCCTCGGATGGGATGTCGAATTCTTGCCCGAATGTCGAAAAAGAGAAGGCACCAACGCTTGTCCTATCTTCACCCCAGTTTGTCTCTTTTGTGTACAGGACTTGTGAGTTCTTCACTTCTACATGCTGTGTGGCGAAGAGGGGTTTTCTGTCGAAAGAGGGAATGTCGAAAATCTCCTGACATATGTCAAATTTCGTGATGTTTCTACATTGGTGTGGCGAGGCCCTCAGGCAAGAACTCTACATCCCATCCGAGGACTGTTGAAAATGTCCAAGTTGCAGGCTGGGAAACGAGCCCTTCTCGAGAGGAGGTGTAGAAACAACTCTTTTTTTTTTTTTTTTTTTTTTTTTTNTTTTTTTTTTTTTTTTTTTTTTTCCATATTCTTCTCTCAACTTCTGTTTTTTGCCTTTCACTACAGCTCCTGATTTTTTTTTGCATCTCGGATTTCGACATGCTGTGTGGCGAGGAGAAAATGTCGAAAATGCAGTTTTCTAGATTGGTATGGCGAGGCCCATAGAGAATGCTCAGAATACTTGGGTAAGAGCTCCCAATCATACTAACGAGTTCTGGAGAGTAATGGGCCCTGTTTCGGACCAAGGCATTAAACCACAAGTACACAGCCCCAGCCTTGCAGTCCGAAACTTGTCGCCACAAGAAAACGAGACAGAAACATCAAAAGCTAGGCCGGCCGTTGATAAATTCTGTAGGCGGTCTCGTTTGCATTTTGTGCCTCCAGAATTTGAGGTGTCAGACCCGCGGCCCAGGTGCCCATGTACTTGTACTTTAAGGGCCTCGCCACACCAATGTCGAAAACTGCATTTTCAACATTTTCTCCTCGCCACACAGCATGTCGAAATCCGAGATGCAAAAAAAAATCAGGAGCTGTCAGGGAAAGGGTTTGAACACCTCCTGTCGAGAAGGGCTCGTTTCCCAGCCTGCAACTTGCACATTTTCAAAAGTCGTCCGATGGGATGTCGAATTCTTGCCCGAATGTCGAACAAGAGAACGCTTGTCCTATCTTCACCCCAGTTTCTCTTTTGTGCACAGGACTTGTGAGTTCTTCACTTCGGCATGCTGTGTGCCCAAGAGGGGTTTTCTGTCGAAAGAGGGAATGTCGAGAATTTCCTGACATATGTCGAATTTCGTGATGTTTCTACATTGGTGTGGCGAGGCCCTAAGGTTCAGACGTGGCTCCTCCCTCAATATTACAGACAACGGGTTCACTACGTGAGGCAGGAGAACAAGTCGTCCCTTATACCTCCGATCTCCAGGAATTCCGCGTACACTACCAGGAGGATGGGAAGGGGAAAGCTACAGCCCATTTGGGAAGAGACACAGACACATACGGAGTGGAACATCTATTGTTCGGATGGAAGGGGCTCAAGTCCAACAACTCTTTCTTTTTTTCTTTTTTCTTTTTTTCTTTCTTTTTTCTTTTTTTTTTCCGTTGGTTTAAATTGCAGAATCATGATACCGAGGCCGGGGTCCTCAGTCCTCACAATTCAACCCGGTACCGTTGTCGGACGGCTCCAACCCAACGCCGCCCTTTACTTCTCTTACAAGGGCGCGCTACAAGGTTTCTATTTGTTGGTTTCTGCCTGACAGGGGCTCACCGACCACGGGTAAAATGCCNCGCCGCCCTTTACTTCTCTTACAAGGGCGCGCTACAAGGTTTCTATTTGTTGGTTTCTGCCTGACAGGGGCTCACCGACCACGGGTAAAATGCCACGACAGGTTGACGGAACGAGTGGCCGGGCTACGACATTCAGCTCAAACGGGCTCGAGCGTTGAACAGCGGTATTTTTGCGAAGAGGACCTAAGACGTAAGCTACCGACGAACACAAAGAGGCTACCACAGCGGACAACTACCGAAGGGTTGGACGAGAGGGTACGGCCGTGAAAGGTCGAGATGATACTAGAGGCCAGCGCGATGGTTGAGGGAACGGAGGCACCGGGCGTTTATCGTGAGGCTACGAGCGTTTTGAGCGGTGATAGTGTCCGAAGTTGCCTCGAGTAACCAGATTCTCGAGGACACCCTGCGTGAATAAGCGGTGGGATCGGG